ACTCAAAACTGACTCCTCAGTTTCCTTCCTCCTTCTAGTCAGTTTCACCTGGCGGCTCTGGTAGAATAGCCAAAGGCTGCAATATGTGGGTTACCAATGAAGCTGTGGAAGGCGTCAACCTAAACAAAATCTGCTGCCTACCCCAATCCTTTAACTTCACAAAAACGGTCATATTAGCGTTTCTAAAAACAACTGCCCTTTGTTTGTTTGTTTGTTTAAACCAAACCTCCATTTTGTGCCTACTTTATGCTACATTTCTGTCTTTCATTTTTCTACCTAATTTTTTTTATATTTTGCCACATAAATGCTTAGGGAGAGTTAGCAACTTAGCTTCAATCTTGCATGGTGCTAACCGCTAAAGCTTGCTGCAGGTTCTCTCTGGGATTTGCAAGGCAGTGGCCATGTTTTCACAGCACACTCAGTGACCAAATCAGAGTTGCTGATTCTTGTTTCTACATCTTTATTGAATTAAGCTACAACCTGTTTCTGGGTAGACGCTCACGCTTGCGGTTCAAATAGCAGAGAGAGGTGAGGCTTTGCTGGACAAGGATTTCAGCCACGCATTTTTACTTACTTCACGTATTATTCAGCCACAAATATTCCACAGCAGGCTTACCTAACCCATTCAGGGTGTTCTCGCCCGCCAGAGAAGGCGCCTGACATGTTATCCTTAAGACAAGAGGAGCGTTTCACTCTAGAGGGTTTTTTTTCTTTTTGTTATTCTCCCTTGGCAATGCTGGTAGATAGATACTAGCAAGGAAACTGACACGGCCTGATACCTACTCGCTATGCAGGCAAAACTCCCATTGAATTCAGTGGTAGGGGGATTTGAGTGCAAAAAGGGAATTGGATTGGGCCCAAAGCAAATGAACAGGGCTGAAATGCCTGTGACAGTGGAAGGAATGAGACAGCTGGGAAGAGATTTGGAGCCGCGATCATCATCTCAAGTCATGCATGAACCTTCCCCCTCAGGGGCAGCAACACAAAGCTTCTTCCTTCATCTGCCCATGCTTCTCATCTGACCGCTCCCTTTATCTCCTTCATTCACTCCCAGCTTTGCACCATCTTTCACACCTTCTCCCTATCCAACTGCTGTGCTTGGAAAAGCCTCCTGGCTTGTGCTTGCTGCCCTCCCCTCCTCCAGAAAACACCCAGAGAGCCACTTGTTCACAGAAGCATTCTATCTAGAAAGACCTCACATCACTGTATGGCCACGTCCTGTACTATACCAGCTTGCAACATCATGGTCAAGCCAAAGGTCCTGCACCAAGCTCCAATCAATGGGCTTGGCACAGGGGGATTCTGTGCTGGGCAGTGTTTGGGGCCAAATCCAGTCCTCAGACCTTGGAGCCACTCTGTAGCCACTAGCGCCTTTGCGGCTGCTCTCCCCGGGCATGTCTTCACTAGCAACGTTAAAGCGCTCCCAGCACTGGTTCACTGCCTACACTGCCACTTTACAGCGCTGAAACTTGCCGTGCGCAGGGGTGTGTTTTTTCACACCCCTGAGTGAGAAAGTTGCAGCGCTGTAAAGTGGCAGTGTAGACAAGGCCCCACTCAACAGAGGAGAGTGCATGAAAGGCAGGGTGGTGTGTCTGGGAGTGTATGTGAGAGGAGCTGAGAGTGAATTTCCTGAGGACTATTTATCCTTGGGTTCTCCATGCATAATCTCCCCAAGGTAAAACCTTTCCCAGATATGCAATCCTAGAATCAACAACTTTCTTTGACGCAAACCTGTTCCCTTTTAGTTCAAGTTCCAATGAACTGCATTCAGAGTTAGTCTATTTTCCTGTCTTGGTTTGGCTGGGGCATCAGCTCAGAGGAGGGATATTTTTAATAGTTATGGGCCAAACCTTAATCTTAAATCCAAACCCTTTAGCTTTCCAGGGTGATTCAGGTTTGGATTTGGTTCTGGGCCCATTTTCCAGGTCAGATGCTGCTGAAATCTCACAAGAGAATAGCTGATCCCACAAGATTTGCCTGGCAGAAATTGTGCGCAATCATCTGATGATTAGGATCATTTGCTGAGCGCCGACGTTCTCAGCACTGCATGAAACACAAGAGGAGACTGCTCCTGCCTCAAGGAGCTTAGAGTCTAAAAGTTCTCATGAGATTTCCACCATTTGGAGCCAAAACACTATGAGTTTTCAGTACCATGAACCCGAACCTTTGAACCCAGTCTCCCTAAACCAGCTTCAGATCCAACCACTGCCTCAGTGGCCCATCTCTAGTCTGTGGTAACGTCTCTCTCTCCAGGCAGAATGAGAGGATACTTATGGTTACTCCTAAGGTAGGCTTCTCATCTATGCGCCAGGTAGGATCCTGACATGTTCTAACTGCCAAAGGCCAGCAGCTCAGTGGCTGTAGGCTGACGCTATGGCTGTATCAAGGAGCACGAAGGAAGGTCTCAGACAACACCAGGGCCCCAATTCAGTGGTGTCACAAAGATGATGCAAGTTACACACTGCTTGGCAAATGGATGTAAGAAGGAAAGCAAGGCAACCTGCACTGACTGGCCATTCAGTGGGGACCAAATTCAGCTTGTGGCAAAAGGGGGTGCACCTTACATTCACATCAATAGATGTGCCTGTTTAAGCTAATGCTGGATTTGGCCCTGTGTGGCTGAGGGGAGGAAGAAGGGGGCACGGTTTGAACCTCTTTATCACTCTCATGTTAGTTGCTTTACCAGCTGCACTCCCGTTCAGTGTGTAAGTCACGCTCGTTCTTCACACCCACTGAATGCCAAACTGGTTCAAGTGACACCACATTGCCGCTTACTCCTGGTTTCTGATCTGCTTATACCTGCCGTGGATTGCACCTTACCATTGTATCCCGGCTGAACTTGATCCACGGACTCTCATGGGAACTGCATTTGCTTCCTTCAGATTCTGTCTGGAAGAACTGGGTCCTCCATGGAAGTAATCAACTCAACCTTCCCCCCAATATTTCTTTAACCTTCCTGTTCCCAAATCTCCATCTCCACTAAACATTTGCTTGTCGAAAGGACCAGAGGGCTATTAAGGCCAAACCTTAGGAATTCACCTCTGAAAATCCATAGAGCAGAAGTCTGTGCTCCAGCATTTTACTAATACATCGTATATTCTCTATTACATCGTAAATAACGCAAGGAACTTGCAATGCAAAATTACTAGCACTGCAGCTCTAAGAAACACGTATCATCACAGCACACAGCCGCACATGAAGAGCTCAGTTCTGCAGCCCTTCAAGTCACTGGGAGATTTTTCTGCACAAGGGCCAGTAGATCAGGCTTCACCACTCTTGGACTCCTGCGCATTTACTTGTTAATGCAGAGGGGCCAAATTCTCATTTACACAAAGGATTGACACCGCTCTGGCATCCACTGGAAGGTCCCCGGACGCTGCCAGAGTGGCATACTGCAGTGCAAATGAAAATCAGGCCCCGAGGTCTTTTCTCCCTGCAGCGCAGAGTTATAATTCCCATTATGCATTTGCATTAAGGGGCTGCAACCCCTCATAAAACACACTCACAAACTTCACATGTGGCAGGCAAGCTAGACTCAGCACATGGAGGAGGGGTACAATGCGAATGCTTGTACTGACGGATGGGAGAATAAAAAATTATTTTGACAAATTTCATAGAGCCTAAAACTTCTGAGACACTGAGAGCGTAGGGTGCTCCACATCCCCCAGGACCAAGTTGATATATCACAAAAAGGACCACTGAGAAAATTTCATCCAAGCTCTGTTTGAAAGTTCACTATTTATTTTAATAGAAAGAAGTATTGTGACAGGAGAGAGAGCAGCATATTTTGGTTTCTCGTTCATACCCAGGGCCTACTTCTTGGCTGCACGGCTCCATGCACCGTTGCTTTCACCCAGCAAAGGGGGTAAAAAGTTCTGCTAAATCAGAATGGAATTGTCTGACCCTCCCTTTGCGCTGGTGTACGTGAGTCAGGGCGATGGGGCGTCAGGCTCACATTTGATAATAGATATGGAATATGTGACTGCATTGGGCGGGATGCAGGGTATGTTGGTCTGGGTTTGAGATGGGCCTTCAAGAAGTGACGGGCAGAATGGTAGCCAATGAATATTAAATGATAAATAATAATAATTTGCACAGTCATGATGAGTGCATGCCTTGGGCCCTGATCCTAAGACAGATTCCTGCATGATGCTTCATTCAGTGGGGATCTGCCACGTGGATCCATTTGCAGGAGTAACCTCGTGATCGTATTGTCACCATCCCTTGTCCTTCCTCTCTCCTGCCCGCCCCCATCACCCTTGACATTTACTTGTTGCGTAATATCAAACCAAGGCCATCTACTCCTGTGAGCAGGGCGTCTATCCTTGTGTGACGAACTGGGACTGTTCTTAATGTGGTCTTTGAATGCTGAGTGGGGAGTGTTGGCTGGGAAGGCAGGGGAGGTTGGCTAGGACTGTCTGCATTGGGGGATGGGAGACTGGCCTTGAGAGAAGATACCTGAGCATGTAACAAGAGAACCCAGGAAGGGGTTAGAGGCCAGGTGACACCTTTGCCCGGGAAACTGAACAAAGGCTGTGGGAGGGGTCGCTGAAGGGAGAGTTTCAGGAGCTGGCTGGTGGAATGGCTGGGAGGCAGATAGGGCTCTGACCTCCCAAGGGGGCTGTGGGGCCCTGGGACCCCAAGCTGGACCCAACTGGAGGGGATCCTGTTGTCTGTGCCTGCAAGACCTGTCTTGGACTGTGTTCCTGTCGTCTAAATAAACCTTCTGCTTTACTGGCTGGCTGAGAGTCATGGT